ACTGGAGTGGGAACAGACTTGGACTTGGTTGGCTACAATGATAATTATAATGAATGATAATTTCTAGTAGGCGGCCTAGGTGAGCAGGGAAGGCTGTCACATTTCTTTATGCACCTGACATTGTGCTGAGAAATTACTATTGCTGCATGAACTGACTGAAAGCAAGCTTGATAAAAGGAAACGTCAAACTAAATCAAAACTCTTTGAATATTCTCCCATTTTTCCTTCCTCTTTAACAGCTTGCTTAACCCCTATGACTCAACTTGTAGAGCCTTTCCCAGCCCCAACAGCCCTGCAATTTTCCAAACCATTCCCACTGTTTGCCTTTAATTCTGAAAATGGAGTAAGAAACTATTTAGAGGATTCATAAGGGACACGGCATAAATACTGGAGCCAAGATTTATCTTTATTAGCAGCACTTTCTGTGAAAGATGTTATACACCCAATCCCAACTCTTCAAGAACTGCTGGTCAGTATTTCAAGACTGCTGGGTCCCTCCAAGTGCCCTATTTGGGACCCTTACAGTTTAAGGTCACATTGCCTTCAAGCATTTTAAAGAAAACCCAGCATAAGCACATCACTTTTGCTTTGTACATTTTCCAAATCTTGACTTTATACTACCCCCATTGATTTTTTGACTGAGAGGAGAAACCAAATGAAGGATCTGATTCCTTCTTCAACACAAAGTCCCAGCAGGAGAAATACAGCATTCGTTTTTAGGAAGGCCTTTGCTGAAAGGCTTTTATCCTTCTGGATATATAAAAAGATCCCTTCTCAGAGGACACAAAATTTCAAAAGCAGCAGCATTGGCTTCTTGGGCAATAATGGGCACCCTCCCCCCCCCCAGGTGCCCCAGGAATTCATAGCCTGCTACAGACTCGCTGCATGCAGCAAAGCTGAGTACAAACACAGCTTCCAGATCGAAAACCTGTGGCTGAACAACTTAGAGTTAAATGGTGTTATCCTGAGAAAGAAAAAAGCTTTATAATGTTGTAGAACCTCTATTGCTGCTAAAGCACAACGATGTGGTTGTTGGAAAAAGGAGAAATACTATCAAGCATTTAACAAACAGGAGGCAAAAAATGTTTTTCTTGCTTGTACTTTTACCTTATTAATTCCTTCATTCATTTATCCCAGTGACTCTATAACGTGGCAAGACATAAGTGACAAAAAACACAAAGTTAGAACTTGGAACTGGGAGGACGTGTTAAATGCTGCAGCCTTTCAGCAAAGGCCAGGCTTAGGTCACTAAGATGAATTTCTGGTTTCTCTGGACACATGTCTAGAAACACCACCAGGAGAATCAATCTTGAGATAAGAGAAATACTGTTGGCCAACATGGTGGCAAGAGCAAGTAGAAGGTGCTGAGAGTTGCAGAGGATATCCCCAGCCACTGGCTCAGCAAATGGCTGCTGCCCAGTCACCAGGCCCCCAGCAGGATCAGATTCCACCACTCTGCTTTAGGATCACAGAATCATTAAAGTTGGAAAGAACAGTAAGATCATCTGGTCCAACCATCAACTCAACACTATCATGCAAGCTTTCTGCTTGCCCAGAACTCAGCTATTTCAGTGATGTACCAAGTGATTTGTTACCTGATGTAGATACTACCTGAGCCCTGGAGAAGTTTAAGTTCATTTCATCATCCTGTCTGGTCAGCGTCCAAGATCCCAAGTTTGGTTTCCATCCACTTTTCCTGACTGGTGATGCTGCTCATAACAATCTGCTCTGGGTCAGAGAGGTATGATTGATGTCCAGCATGCTAGATGCCTTTTTATCCTTCCTCATTTTTATTTTCACATAACATCTCACTTCAAGATTCCCTCAGTGAAATATGATGCATTTTCTTGAATGTAAAAGTCTGGAGATATCCCACAGGTGAATGTGAGATAAATGCAAACTCCAATTCAAAACTAACACTCATTCTTACTTACAAGAACTTCTAAACCCTTCATCATTATATGATCCTCTATTTTTATATAATTACACTTGTAGGGATGTAACAACACAGAGTTAACTGGAGGACCTCAAGTCATCAACTTGATTGCTGCAGCTCTAAGGGCTATTGCATTGCTACTTGACTGAGCACTTTGAAAAACTATTTTCAAAAACGTTTGTTATACTAGCTATACAATAGGAGATATGGTGATAAAATTTCCATTGGAAATTTAAAGGCATCAGTAATCAGTCAGTAGGGCAGAAGAACAAGAAATTGCATTTTTAAGCAACGTATCTTAATTATCGTTTGTCATCTTTAATGCAAACTCCATGCAAGAAAGGTAATGCAAACTATCATGGAGTTGCAGAAGTACAAAATAAATGCACAGTAACTAAATCAATTTTTAGTTAAATAACTCTGTGTCTCTAAAAAATACTAATTGCATTTAGTAAAAATATCATTCAAAGTCTGACTGTGCCATAATGCTCAGAATTGGGTGAATTGTTTTAAAATTGGGTGAATTTTTATGCATGAGTCATAGAATCCCTGCAAATCACAGCTAGCTATGGAAACGGTGACATAGCTACAGTAGCATTTCTGTTTCAACACTGCCATAATGAGCTCTAATTATTTCACACTTCAACTGATTTGCACATGATGTTCATGATCCTAGCAGCCATAAAAAGTAACATATGAGGAATGATGAGACTCCATCCTCATAACTGGATATCTTTAAGCCACAGGAACAACCAAAAAGCCTTAGGAATCTCTTAAGTCTTAACACTATCTTCCTGCTCAATCGTAACAATTCTTACCAGGTTCAATCTCATGATTTCTGGATATTCTTTTTTAACAGGATGTACCAATGCTAAGGCTTGAGCTCAATTAGCTGTCCACATCTAGATTTACTGAACTCTCAGAATTAAGACTGCTGTTACTGAAAGTGAAAGCATGCACTCAGTGGAACCCCAATTTGAAGTTGAACAATGAATAGAAAACAGAAAGAGAAGGTGCTTCCTATTGCATTAAGCATACTGGAAACAGAAGAATTACTGCACACACACACACACACACTCTGGAAACAATCAGTTATTCTGCTTAGTTTAAAAAAAAATTGTCTTTGTAAAACAAATCATTATATTTGCATAGAATCACACTGCCACATGAAAATAAATTATATTTTCTGCTTGTGTTTCTGTTACAGATTTAATTGATGTAACAGTGCAGAAAACGGAGACAAAATTTTATTTCTTCTGCCTTTTAATTACCATCTGCTAACATAAGATTACTTTTCTTAAAGTGACTGGGTCTACCTGCCAGATGAATTTTTCGCCTGATTTCCTCAAGCTCTGGCAGCTGCCTTCATTATTGGTGAAAATGGCATGGCAAAGCTAGCATGAAAAATGAGGCTAAGCACCTGTCACTTCATTTTTCTGCAAAGAAATAAAGAAAATACATGTAACTCAATGCTCTGCACCATCTATACTCAGCAACAATTTGCTGCAAAAAAAAAACAAACCAAACCAAAACAAAAAAAAACAACAACAAAAAAAACAACAAACTTGTTTGTTCTTACATGCTGTTAAGAGTCATGACATGTAAAGGAGTTCCAGAAAGCTACCTGTTTATGATAATCAGAAAAGATTTAGACAAAAAGCTACAAGGAAATAAATATAAGGATGCATAAGAATCATCCCCATAATTGCTGAATTTCTTCTGTGAATGTAACATCCTCTACACATAGTTGTTTGGGTATAAGAGTTTAACCAGGGAACTTCACCTAGCAAGTGACACAGTTGAGACTCATTAATTTTCTTTACAGTAAAAAGAGCCTCTCAGTAACTGAATCAGCCACGAAGGCATGGAGCCACTCTAATTGTACCACGGTTACAAGTTTTTGGATGCCTTCACTTTTTCTAGAATTTGTCTTCATGGAAGATGGCCAACATTTGGCATATCTGAAGCCAACACATGCCAGGAAAAGTGACCTTCTCCATCAGACCCAGATATTCAAGTATTCTTTGACACCTGTCAACTTTTATGCACAGGAGAGCACACCTGACGAGAACCCAAAGAAGGAAACTATGAAGGAGGGCAAAGGCATTAAAAAAATGCATTACAACAGCTTGTTTATATCAATTTCTCTGCTTCATCACAAAATAAGAATGGTTACGTCGGCTGTTTTTTTCCAACAGCAGATTAATGAGTTCAGTATGCCTTAAGCAGTGCCGTTGCAGTTAAGCTACAATGGAGCTCAGTGCAAAGTTGCATCCCAAGTTACCCAGGACCACAGAGTTGAGGGAGAACACTGAGCACTGTGTTATAGTCTAGGCCCTCCTCAACGTACAGATCTACAGCAGCAGCTCTAATTGCCAGGGAAGAACAGATGTGGATCTATGAGCTAATTCTTTTAGGTGAGTGAAGAAATAAGATGAAATACGGGTAGGTTCTGTGATGGCTGAGTTATAACCTGCTTTTCCCAGTGTGGGGAATATCCAGAACCACCTGCCACTTGGTACAGCTTGTCCCTCTGCTTCAGATATAGCAATTGCATGCTGGAAGAACTTCAGAAAATACACCTTACAATAAAAAGGAGTGTACAACTGTTAAAACTCAACCATTAAGGAACAAAATGTAGATCTTCTGTTTCTGCAATTGTTGCTTTATTCCTGCTTGTTCTGCCTTCACCTCCACTCACGCATTATTTTATTTCCTATTTTGCTAATGTGACCAGAACTGTGTATGATCTTAATCTTAATGATGGTCCAAGCAACTGCCTAAAGGAAAGACCTTGAGTTTTCGGATGCAGAAGTTTGCTTGTAAAAGATCACAGAGGGACTATGATGCAAACATGAGGAAACTCTTCTAAAGAATTTTCAGAGCACTTAATCCCATCAGATAGTCTCATTGCTCCTATTTTAATTGGAATTGCAGTACCTCATTTTCTAGCAGAGACATTAAATCACCAGGCTTTATATTCTTGAGATATTTGGGCCAGTTTCACACTGTTGCCATACTCATCCTGTAATCCAAATAATCCATGGAAATATAAATTACCAACCTTGAACAAAGAGTTTGAAGTTTTATCCGAGATTCTTCCAAAATAGTCATTCTCTGAGGTTCAGTTTTTCTACAGAACTGAAGTCGTCCCATTTTTCTTTGGACACGTGCATGTTCATTTCCCAAGATGGATTTTTTCCCTTTGCTTTGCCAAAAGAAAGATTTAGTAGGAAGAAACATAGAAAGATCGGCAATTGAAGTCATGTTGGAATAAAGAATTTATGTGATAAATATATACATTATTCCACCCATATTTGTGGAAGGATAATTGAATTTTTTTGCATGAGAGACTTTGACAAAACACATTTTATTATCTAGGAAGGAAGCATGAAAAGCTTTGTTTTAATTCTTTTTAAAGACATTTCTAATTTTTATGAGACTAAGACCGAAATAATGCATTAATTATTAGCATATTTCCTAAGAAATCATTAGCGGTATATTTTAGCTTTTATAGCAGTGGAGAGTTCAAATCAGGGTCAGATAATAGTAACATTATGTGGATTGTTACTAACTTCAGTTTTATTGCAGTCTTTTATAATTCTTGTGTTAAAATCCATGTTCAAATGTCCACAAAAGAGGAAAGGATTATGTTTCCAAGTGCCACAGCACAGTAATCTCATCCACAGTGTGAACATTACATTTGGATATGTCATGTCAAAGCCTTGATATTGCACATGTCTTACAGAAGACAGGATTTGGTCAGTATTTTGGGTGAAAAACTGGCAGATATATATGTCACGAAATAGAGAATTGGTAGTTCAGTAGATGGCACTCTTCCCTTGAAGTTGGTACTGTACCAAAGCACCAGCCTGTTATTGGCACCAGAGACATTAAATGATGAAGTAGGTACTGAAGGGAGACCTTTAATTGCACAAGGTCAAAGATCCCAAGGAGTATTTCCTAGAATATCTACGCTAAGTTTTGGTTTTGATCATCACAGCCCACATTTCCTCCTGACACTTCTATTGGGTAAGGAATTGTGTAGTTTGTGCAGCCCAACGCTGCAAACAACAAAAGGGTTGAGTTCCCAGGGCGAGTGACATCTGCAGTTCAGGTTGTTCAAACCAGGACAGTACTATCACGCATCTCCCAGAGTATGCAACCACTTTCAAAGCTTCACTGACTCTTTCTAGAAAGAACTGAGAAGAGAATTTTGTCACAGCTTTTCCTTAGGAGTTAATACCTCCTTAATCTTTGTAAACAAATTTAAAGGACAGTCATTTAAGTTTTGAGTCTTTACAGAAAAGTAGCTTAAAAATATAACGTTTACTTCATTCCACTTGGAGGAAATAATCAAGATCAGCAAAGCTCTGGTATGTGTATTATCTGGAGGCTCTGCTATATCTGTGTTAGGGCAAGAGAAACTCTACAACACTTCCATTCAATGCACAGTGCAATAAATACGCACCAAATGCAAGTGTGGCGAATAATTAGATGAAGTTATTACTAGAATATTCAGAACAATTTTCTGGGGCAAATACAACATCAATTCCTTACTTATTTATGTCCACCGTGGTCTCCCAGTCATAAAAAGTAAACCAAACCACAACACACCTCCTAAGTGTGAAGGCCTAGAATTATGGTTTGCTCCTTTTTGTGTTTTGAAAAATCTTTTCCATGTTTTACAGATTTAGTTTGCAAAGCAGACTCCAGTGCCAACATTTATCCCACTCTTAACTACAGCTATCCCTACTCCACACACCATGGAGCAAATCCCCAAATTCTCACACTTCCTGTTAACCCTGCTTGGCTTTCATTATTGTTTGGTAAAATCATTTCTTTTATGTGATTGCTTTACCCTAATACTGGCCAAGGCTCACTGCAAGACTACAAGGTTCCCCAAGTAAGATAAATGATGCCTTCCACATTACTATGGGAATGCAGCTTGGATCTTGGACTAGCAATGCAAGGGAACAGGAAGCCAAGGTTTTGCTTTCCCCAGAAGACAGGGAAGACATTCTTAAACTACTTTTCTGAATGACAAGAAACTCAAGACTTTTTTACTTTGAGTTATATTGGAGGGCATTCTTACTTAACCACCAGATGCTGTATCACCACTTGCTCTAACCAACTACCTATACTACAAAAAACTGACAAAGTATTTCAAAGAGACACAAAGAAAAAATCTGACCAATTTTCTGATGTTTCAGGTGGCGATCCTTTAGGTTGTATAAAGAATATATAGACATATTTGCAGAATGCGCTGACAGTACAGTATGAATATCAAAAAGCTGAGGAGGTCTTTTAAGTCATTTGCTGTCCACATGCAACATCATTAGCTAATATCAACCCAGCCTTTCCCAGAGAAATCAATATTAGTCTATGTGCTAAGTTCATATTTTATTAACTACCCTGTAGAGCAGAAAGCACATGTATTCATCTAAGATCAACTATTTAAAGTCATTTGAAGGTGATGAAATCTTTTAGATATAAAACCTCTCTCAGAATAGATTCATAGGAAAAAGACCTCTAAGATCATGTAGCCCAACCATCAATCCACCCACACCATGTCCACTGGCCACGCTCCTCAGTGCCACATCTCCACAGTTCTCCACAGCACCTCTGGGGACAGTGAACCATCAGCTCCCTGGGCAGCTGTGCCACTGCATCACCGCTCTTTCAGAGATTTTCCTAATATCCAACCTGAGATATAATGCAAGTTTGCCCAGTTAATCTGAGAGGATAGCATTTCAAACACATTTTCTACTTCCGCAGCATGTACAACAATGAAAAAGCAGAAGACAATGCTTATTTATGCCCCGTTACAGTGAAAATTTGCATCACAGCTCAGTACTATATGTAAAAGAATAGTCGATCTCAAGCAGCACAGCTATAAAACTTCAAGTAGCAAACTGCATCTAGGGGACTGCTGGGAGGTCTGTGTAAGCAATTATAATTTATGTCAGGATTTATCTTAAGGGTCGTTATGTTTTTCTAGTATAATGATGTTAAACAGTTTGACTTTTTTTTTTTATTACTAGGTAATATATTAGCAATGCTTAAAAACCAGTTATATTGTAGTTCTGTGACAAATTCATCCCTGGAAAAAGAACCAAAACAATGATCTAAGATTTCCTGTCAGTTCATTTATACAAAGGCACTTTAGGAGTAAAACAACTTCTGTAATTCAGACTTATAGCATTCTATACTACACATTAAAGTGCATATCAAAATTTTACAGAAAACTATATGCAGATGTTACACATCTCATCAAATCAGAGTGAAGTTACCTTCTAAAGACAAATCTTTTCAGAGCTGAGCAGAGGTCAGCAAAGACCAACCAACTATCTGGTAATTGCTTTACAGGGCTTCCCTCCTCTCCATCAGAGAGATTTTTTTGCTCATTGCTCACAACAGATTGATTGCATCTCATCAGACATCTTGGTTTATTTCTAAAAATGCTGTTGATCTGGGTGAGAGAACTTCAGATTTTCTTTTAGAATTAACATAACTGTGCCTGAAACAACAAAGTAGAGATGTGATTAAATTAATATAATTACAATCATAGCATAATTACTCAGGTTACAGTAGGAAGCAATGAGTCTTTTAAATCTCTTCTCCATTATACCACCCTGCTCAATTTTCTCCATCCCTAACTTCTCTCACTATTTCCTTCACTAGCTTTTTCTCCTTACAACCTTAAAATGCCTTTAAGTGCCCAATCACCACTTCATTTCTCATTGACTACTCCTAAACATCAATGGAAGCAATATCCTTTTTCCAAATGTTGTTCCCCTCACCTTGAGTCACTTGTCTAGTATAAAAATAAAAAAGAGATAGCTTGGATTATTCTCTCTTCTAAGGCAGCAGTGATTGTTTAGTCTGTCCTTCCCGAACCTTTCCAACTATCTGCCTTTGATGCTGTCCTCAAGAGCAAACTGCATTTGAAGCTTTTTTTCTATATTCAGGCTTTGTATCTTCATTTTTCACTGCTTAAGGCTCTGTGCTTTCAACTCTACAGTTTTTTCACCCTAATCTATGCTTGTTTCAGATTGGTCCATCAATTTCATGCAATTAATGTAAATGTATTGCAGTCCTCAACTTAGGTTTGGTCTACAGTAGAAGTTTTGTGCATTCAGCTAAGGTAGATCAGGAATGTGATGCTGAGGTATATTGACTTTTCTTAGAGTATTTCAAAGGTAGAACATTCTTCCAGCTTCTGCTGCTAACACCTTCATATTAAGAACTGAGTTCTACTTCTTGACTACTGTTCATCAGGCTCAGACCTTATCAAAATCCATTAAATCCCATGTCTTGTTTTGTTTTTGCAGTGCTAGATACTGCACACTGAAAGAAACGGAGAAAGTACCATGTCCTGGATGAAAGTGAAACAATCTGAGAGTAAACACCGTCTCCAGGATATCTAGTCATCTTACCACACTCATACACTGATTTTACTCCTCACTTCCCTGCCGGAAGGCTTATGACTATTTCAAAGAATCATAGAATGGCTTAGCTTGGAAGGGATCACCCAGTCCCAAACCCCCTGCCATGGGCTGGTTGTCACCCACCAGCTCAGGCTGCACAGGGTCATATCCAACCTAGCCTTGAGCACCTCCAGGGATGAGGCATCTGCTTATCTACACAGCCTGTGCCAGTGCATATTTCCATGTTGTCACTATGACCATTGTTCAGACCAGGATTAATTTTGTCTAAAACGAACCTTAAAAGCTTCCTTTCTCATTATTTTCTTCATTCATACAGTTTAATCATGCTCTATCTTCAAAGTTCCTCAGCAGGAACTCTAAGTTTGTCATCAGGCAGAGGCTATCATACTGTTTTTACCCTTCCATCCTCATATTATTCCTCATGTAACAAATTTAGAAGCATGCTGTTCAATCCTGATAATACAAATTCCTGTAATTCAAAATATTATTTATCACAAAGTAGCACCACAGTATATATAGAAAGCTTTATTCTTCTACTGCTGACTTTTAAAACAAGCTAACATTAATACAAACCTTTTCCATATGCTCTTCAGATCTGAATTGCCATGTATTTATACTACTACTGCTTTTAATTCGCAGTTCTGTCTTCTCTCACTCAAACCCAACTTCTGCCTTGCTTGCTATCTACATGCAAGTCACTTTACACAGTTCTGTAAAGCATTATCTCATTATTCTGTCTCTCACTATTGAGCATTTTCAGACCCTCTGTGTGAAAGATGAGATATAAAAATAAATTGAATTGGAATACATGATGCTATGTCCTGAACTTAAACAGGCTATACTCACAGTGCATATGTAATTTGACAGCTACAGGCTATGCTTTCATGATATACACCAAAAGGATTTATTATGCAAGTGATTTAAAGTTCTAACCATTCTGGGTAGTCTGACTAGACATTAAACTCACGGTTGTGTAATCTCAAGTTGCTGTTAAACAATTTGACAAAGAAAAACAAATAATTATTGCGATGATTACTACTCACCAGAGTCAACCTTCAAAGTCCAGCGCTTCCATAAATGTTCTTCCCTTGCCTATGATACCTTGGTAGGAGCTCTGGCAGCTACCTTCATTGTGAGAAAGCATTGCTAAAACAATTTCTGCCAGACAAAATCAACACCAAGATGTTTTGGAGAATTTCTAAACAGGAAAGCTGTGTAGTATGGAGCTCTGAGTGTTGACTTTGATCAAGCTGGTCTAAAGAAGGGAGGAAACGTTAGTTACAATTTCTATTTTCAAAAACAGCAAAGAGGGAAGAACTGAAAATGAAACTCGACATAAGGAAAAGGCAAAGCGCCATCTGACAGTCTCAAAAAATCCACAAAATTTTTTTTTTTTTTTTTTCCAATTAGCATTTCAACTTGTTTAAAATAAGGGCATAAAGATAAAAGGAACTTTATGCATCTGATCCTTTAAAAGCGATTATTTGAATACTGTAAGAACAGAAAGCATTACATCCTATATCATTATTTAAAAATTTAAGACACATAGTTTCTCTTTGAGGAAAGGCAATAAAAGAATACATCATTAGAAGTCATTCCAGTTGCTTTAAATTTAGCTCTCTCTGTGCAAAAGCTGTGGTTTTGCAATTACATCTCCCCATGTGTTTTTTAAACACAGAAGTAAACAGTCATGAAGAATAAATAATGAATGTGTCCCACCTTGTTTATTCCTTGAGTTAAGAATAAAGAAACCATTATGATCTGAATCCATCTGATCAGAATTAAATCAGAAACGGCTAATAAAGATTTTATTTTTTTTAATTAAATAATGAAAAAAACATTGAAGTGGGTAAAATCGTAAACCATGGCCAAATAAGACTCAGGGACCAACCATGTTTTCTGTGAATGCTCAGTTCCACAGCATACCTCTTCCTGTAACAGCCATAATAATGGCTTAACTATGAATCTGCTTATTAGTCTGCACATAATTCAAGCCCTGGGATCCACATTAGTTCTTGAGTATAGCAATCATTATTTTGGCTGTAGTATTGCTCAGAATCATAGCCACACAACCATTTTTTTTATTTTTAAACCCTTTGAAGAAACAATATTCAGAAAGCCTTTGTATGTTCCTTAGTAGAGCTGCAGCTGTGCTGTATTTCCCAAAGCCAATCAGCCTCATGAGCCTAAAGACATGCTGTGCACGACCTGATGCGTTACTTCATGTACACAGAGAAGCATGACTGGGAGTTCTTCAACTTGAAGGTTTAGACTCTAAAATAAGGGATATTTTTACACAGGAAAAACCACTTGTTTTCACCTTCTTACTCAGTACAGCATCAGAAAATTGCGTTTTGTTTTCATGGTTTTTTCCCCCTCCAGACTTCAGTAACATAATATTGGTAAAACTGTCTAATAACATAGGAAGAATTTATCTAAGAGCAAAAGCCATTTTGAAGTGGATTCAATCCTTTCACTGAACCTCCAGTAAAAATAACTTCACTGGGGTAAAACCTCACATTTTACCTCAAGCCTTCATTCAAACGTTATTTATTCACAAGTGCAGAACATCCTTGTAGTATATATTGAAGAATCCCAAATCAAATATTTTTTAAAAAAAGAAACAGATTATGTATGAGCTGGAAAATAGAAATATTCTAGGAATATTTATTGTAATTATTAGCCAATTTTATATTTCAATGACCTAGCTTTAAATTAGGAAGACGAGTAAAACATGCTATAAAAAAGCAATTCCATTTATTCCACTAATAAGTTGCAACCTGTTTCTGTTTTACAAGAGCGCACATAAATGGATTCAGTTAGCATAAATTATGTATGCATGCCTGAATGTTCATGAACCATTTCTAATGGCTTTCGGTTATTGAAAATCTGATACTCCAAAAGTTATCCATAAGTATATATGTATGGAAGCAGAACATTCAGCCCTGTGCCTTGTCTGTTTCTGCTTAAAAGTGTCTAGAAAAAAGAAAAAACAAAACCAATTTAAAACTTCAGTTCTGGCTCTGCAAATGGGTGGTCTTTTAGTTTGCCCAAGGGCTGCTTTGAGCAAGATGGGATCCTCCTTCAGAGCCATGAGCACCACTGAGACTCGTCCTGCCTGCTGGATTTCCATAACCATCTGACAGCTTCCCAGGGAGTTGAAAGGCTTTGAGGACATTTAGATAAGGAGGAAAGATGGTCTGGGGAAGGAACATGATAAAAGAGCACTATGCTGCTTGGACGAATTATATTAAAATACACTTGAGAGTTGTAAATAATGAAAGCACAACCTGAACTATTTTATTTCTAGCCATAATATATTAGTATTATCAGCTCCCCTTTAAAAATTTTGGGTCTTTATTTGGTAGCCTGAGTGCTGAAAAGATTGTTTAAAAATTCACCTCTGCAGTAAACGCTCAAGAAAAAAATATACATATTCCTGGTGCTCTCCAGGTAGCTGCATTGTCAGGGAGCTGCAAGCTTTATGCTCTCACTCTGTGCTGCATGCACCTTTCTCACAGCTTGGCCATGGATAAAATCAGAGCTGCTCAGCAATCCATGGAGCAGACTAACAAATTCTTCACAAGTAGCCTGAACCTAAGGAATACTCAACCTAGAGTCATAGCCTCCTCTTTTCCTTTTGACAGTCATTGGGATGAACAGCAGTGTTTACTCTAAGTTAAAAATCACCCACACAATCTCAAACAATTGTTTGAGATTGACAAATACAGATGGACTCAGCAACTGCCAAACAAGCAGTCCTCCCTGTACTCTCAAAGAACTCAGCCATGGGCATTGTCTCACTTCTAGAACACTTCCTGTGCAGGAGATGTTTTCTTAGTATTTGTCCACATGCTAGCAAACAATTATCACTGGTTGAGAAAAGGAATGCCAATGCAGAACAGACTACTTTAAGTAACACATTTCCTTTAAAACACAATAGTTACACTCTTTATTTAAAGCAAAACCAAACAACCAACCAAAAAACAAACAAAAAAAACCAATAACCCTTGATTCTAACACGCATCTTGTCACAGGCTGAAGCAGAAATATGAAAGACCAGTGAGGAATTTGAATTATGCAAAAGAAGACTTGTTTGACTGGTGTGTGGGTGTGACAAAGAGGACAGCAGAAACACCACAAATGAGCAGATTTTTAGAAAGAAAATCCAGATGCACACTGGGCAAGTGTGGGATGTGGCACTGAGAGAAGCCCAGACAGTGCTGTTGGGTTTGAGTACCAGCTGAAAACAATCTCCTGTCATTTGATCCTCCTATGCTCAAAGGTGCTTGGAACGAACATCTCTACAAGTAAACAGGATTACATGAAAGACATTTCTCTCCAACACTGAATTCTCCTAACTGGAATGAACTGGTCAGACTAACTCCTGAGTACTAAAAACCAGTTGCAATAGTTTTTGGTTAAGAATTAGAGAGTTCTCATTAACAACATACGAGTCCAGGCAATTCGATGGTCACTGTGTTTTAGTAGTTCAAAAATAAAGTTTCAAATTACACTTTTTACCAGGAAGCATTAAAAACACACGTTCCAAAGTAACCATAAAGTTTGATAACCCATTACAGTAAATAATATGTCTGGGGCCTAACCCGTGCTGACGACTCAAGACATACAATTGCTTCTCCAAAAACCTGCACTGCAAATAACCGCAAAGCTGTGGGCTATGCTGACTCCAGTATTAAGTATCAAGAACTTTTAACACAAGATCACAGTCCTAATCAAGAAGCTATGTATGTTTAATGCAATTCTACCAGTCTAAAGTAAGGGGTTGGAACCCGATGATCCTTGGGATCCCGCTCAATCCAAGCCATTTTATGAACTCATTTATTTGAGGAACTTGGATGAAGGACAGATCCAGAGCTATACTCTAGGACACAACCTGTAATGCCTTGATGGATTACGCAGCAGAATTCTGAATTCACTGATCATTTTACATGAAAAAAGCAAGATTATTTAAGGCTGTGGACTTTAATTGATAGGTCAACTAACTAGCAAAATATGCTGCCAGGGGTGTTTTGTTGCCTGAAGAATAATTGTATTGCAACATTTTAATGAACGAAGATAAGCGAAGGGACTGATATCAACAATGCTTATTCCTGGAAGACTAAGCTCTACATGTTTTCAGACACAAAATATGTGATCTGCTCCAGCAGGAGAATTGGATTAGATGGTCTTTTGAGGTCCCTTCCAATCCTTGGCTTTCTGTGATTCTGTGGCCAAGTCACCAGCCACTGTAATGCCAATTTCATCAGGTTATAAGAGCAGGACAGGCAGGCAGTGCCTGGCAGTATGATGCCTAAGGTGCACCTAATTCATTTCCAGACTCCAACTGGATCCATGCTCAGGTGTTCTAATGGAAAGGATAAGTAGCCTGGATAGTTTGCTTTCATGTTAAATATCACGTCTGTGTTGAGCAATGGCAAGAGAAGCAGCAGTGCCACACTGTGTCTACACCACCTGATGGGCAGGCAAGTTCTGAGCTGGACTCGATGCCACGCAGCTGCATACATTCTCTCCTTTTTTCTCTGCTTCATATTTCTGTTTGGCTTTGTTGACTGTAGATATGGAGTTAGCTCTTCTGCCAGTTTTAATGGATTTCACCCTGAAATCAATAGAAAAATACCCATCTGTAATAGCTACTAATTTAGTTCCTAATCTGTATTATGCCAGACAGGAAGTTTCCTTGGCTCTCTTACTTTGAGGGAAACAGTAAGAAACAGAAAAATGAAAAAGGGCAAGATTTATCTAGGAGGTGGCAGCAGCTAAACTGCTTCGGCTAATGCAGCTGCTGACATTTCCAGCCATTTGGCGCATTCCTCCCTAGGGAGAATAAAGCTGAAAGAAAATACTTAATACGAAACTACTGGATGTCCATTAAAAATCATTCTAGTGGTAAGATGAACAGGCTCATTGGCAAAATACCCCATGTATAAATCTAAAAACAACATTAAAAGCCATCCAAAAAAACCAGCAGTTAAATAGATTCTTTCATACTGAGAACCAGCAGTACAGGAGACTAAAATGGATTCTGTAGGAAAAAAAATGACTCTTGATTTAAACCGATAAAGAGATTTCCCAGTCAACGTCTGTGTAATGCTAAAGAGAATGATTTTTTTTTTAATTTTTTTTTTTTTTTGCACAAAACCCCAAGAGGTGTTAGAAATATGATTCAAAGAATGGCTTTAGAAGCAGAATTCAAAGAATCTGGGGGGATGGTAGATCACTTTCTTATATTACCACCTGTTATGAAGGATAACAAAGAAAAAAGAGCTTTACTCTAATGACGGATGGGATTTAAATGTTCTCTCTACTCAAGCAGTGTTGAAATTATGGGGGGTAACAATACCCGATGGAAGGGAACCTTATTAAGGAATTAATGGAGCCATGGTGATTTATATAGAGAAAAAAGTTTCCTTTAACTAAACTATGAAAGATGATAGGTAGTCTTAAGAAAGGAAGCTTTGTGAGGTAGAAGCCAATGGTTCTATCTTATTCTAAGGAATGGGAACACAGCAGATGTCTCCCTAGATATGGCACTGCATAGTGATTTTGGCTGGGATGGAGTTAATTTTCTTCATAGTCACTTGAATGGTGCAATGAATGGGAATTAGTAGCAATTCTGTAATCCTGCACCTTAATTGAACATAATGCACTTCTGTATAGAACTTCTCGGGGACCAAATCAAGGCCAATGCTTCAGAACTCCAGGCTGTGCACAAAACAAGCAAATCCTACCCCCCAGAACTCCAGCTCTGCAAGCATACCTGTGATCTGGTCTTTCTTGGAGCTTAGCATTGGGACTGGGGAAACACTTCATGGAAAATGAATGGGAAAGTGCTCCTCAGAAGTCATATTTTGCCTTCAAAGAAGATACATAAATCAAAATCCTAATTAATGTATTATCTCCCATCTAGACAATATAAAGTCAAGCAAAGTTCCCAATTTAAAAAAAATTTTGAAGTGTATGTTGCCTGCTGACCTCCATTTAAGTCTTCTGCATATATGGTCAGGTTATTAGATCTAACACTTCTGTTTCATATTCATTTCTTCTGTTCACCACCTCTGTAACTGGATAGAAAATCAAATCATTTACCTCATTTTAAAAACTGGAAGTTAAGTGTTTTCCCTTGTTATATAAGCCTAAAATGAAAAGGTGAAAGACAAAAAAAAATATTATGTGAGGATCTCTGTCAACTTCTGTGAATGCCATTTAAGAAAACTGAACAGAAAATAGATATACATGGAGAAAAGGGTAAGGAAAACATTTCAATTCATTTTCAGCAAATCTGGTTTTCAACTTTTCTGTTGAAATGAAAGCACAAGTGGCAACAACTCCATGCCTACGCTTGTTATTGCCTACTCAGAAATCAAGTGCTCTTTCAGTCAAGAATTGATTGTTGGAAAGAAAATAAACTGTCAACTGGTGAGGCTTATTATCAAGCTGGAAAGTGAGAAAGATTTGCTTGCTGCTGCCGCTGCTAGTTTACAGATTTCAAAATGGCTTTTAAAAGCACTTTGTTTTGTTTTGTTTTGCTTTTTTGCTGTGAAGCTTAAAGTAGTTCTCTTAGAGGAATAGCATGTAAGCAGTGCAACCAGGTCAGAATGGAAGAGCACCCCAGCTTGGTTTTTTTTTGTTGTTTTTCCTCTTTTTAAGAGTTCTCACCTCTGTAACTGACACAGCACAGTCCAACAGGAAGAAAAAAAAAAAAGATTCAAGAAACTTCAGTTCTTCTTTCAGCTCTGTCAGTGACCTGTTTTTACATCATAGGAAATTTGCTTGAGTTTTCCATTCTTCAGTTTTCCCATCTGTACAACATGGCTGTTATTTCCCTTCTAATGACACACCAGGAGGTCTTAGATGCTGTCTATTTACACAAGCCAACTTGCAATAAATCAGTTTGGCATTTGATCAAACCTCAAATTCTCTACCCCCTGAAAACTGCCTCTGAGCTGTAGCCCCTTTCCATCCTCTGGGCAGCAGTTGCTCTTTTCTTGTTTTTCACAGCACCCAGAATGGGACAAATGAAGATTTTTTTCCTATTCACAGCTTTTCGTGTATCACCATATTTGCAGCACTAGAAAAACACTATGTGAGTCCCTGATTTTTCTGACATTTTGCAGCTTTAAAGAGTCTGCAAGGTTTCCTTACACATTCAGAAAAAACTGTACAAGAAGTGCTTACTTTGTTTGGGCAGCTTTTCAAGATTTTTCAAAAGTGAATGCTAAATGTGAGCATTAAATAATCCCTAGGTGTGACCCTTCCAGAGGTGGCAGAAGTTGGGGAGTGAACACACACCCCAAACCAAAATGGATTAAATAATATTAATATATTAAATTAAATAATATTAATTAAATTAATTAATTAAATTAAATAGTTGCTTGCAGTGTCAACTCACAGCATCTAGTTTCAGAGGAATTAGGCTGAAGAGGAAAGAGAGGAAAAAGAAGAGGAGAATGGGTTTAATCCCAGAATGAAGAAATGAATTCACTTTATGTCTGAATCAGAGCTGGTCAGGGAATTCCAACCGGGCATGTTTATTTGGGAAGTGACAATTCATGAAGCAAGAGCAAATCATAGCAACATGCCTACTTCAAGGAACCTCTACTTATTAAAAAAAAAAACAACAAAACAAAACAAAAAAAACCCAGGCAGATAAAAGAGTGCCTTATTTCCAGCCAGGATACGTCTCTATAGTGCTGTGAAAGCTTGGACTTCCATGGCCCCAAACTCTAGGATTGCTCTATTCTGCAAATAGCACTTCCCTTTTAGATCCTATAGGTCTCAGGTCAAGCACCAGGAGGCTGGGTGCTCAGAGCTTCCTGTTGGTATAAGATTCACTCATGCCAAGTAACAATAGACTATTACATTGATTCCTCAAGGATTCTCATGTTTTCCAGACCTCAGGGATATGTAGCTGGCATCAATGGGAAGTCTGACAGAGTCAGAAGAGCTAATTGTTACTTTGAAAAAAAGTAAAATACTTTGACTTTTATTACTTATGTTTTTAAGACATTGAAATCCCCTTCCACCTCTACAAGAATGTCAAATTTTGCATATTTTTCCAGGTTGCTTGTAAACAACCCATTAAATGCACCAGTAAATAAATCTACATGAGTCCAGGTTTGTATGAGCAATTCTCCAGAAGAATTCACATGTGCTAGAAACAAAATTTTGTTTGCAGAACTCTTAATTTGCACCAGTAGGATTACCAACCCATATGTATTAAACACACAGAAGGAAGGGCAGATATTCCCCAACAAATTACATTCAGAGTGAATGCCATACAAACTTTAAGTTAAAGATCAGTTTGAACTCTAAAGGTTAAACAAAAGCTTCTTGGCCTGCTAGCAACTGTCACACAGATATGAAATTCTTTGTAGGGTAAGCCCTAGAGAAACTACAGAATGCTTACAGCATCCCACTGTGTTTACTGCTTGGTTCTGGCTCTCTCAGCACTACTTCAGCAGGAGACTACAAATATTGCTGTTCTAAAGAAGTCAGAGCAATGGGGGCTGAAGCAAAAACTATTTTGAGTGATGTGACTAATAACTCCAAAAAGATAGTGGCAATTCCATTACATTAATTGCTAGCAGAACAGATTTCAATGAGAACTATACACAAGGGTCTACATATTAGTTAATAATTTTCCAAGGTTATACTAACACTTAAAAGAAACCTTCTAGATAATTAAAGGTAATTGACCTAGGGTCAGTATTCTTATTAAACAGCTACAGAAAAAGAAATGCAGAAAAGTTATTTGCATAGACCAGATTAATAAACATATGAGTCAGTAGCAACAGAAGATGATATGTCGAACACTATTCAGGAGAATGTGCTGGGAAAAATAAGACAAAGTTGTACCACCAGATTCAGTCTAGTATGCTGTTTTTTTATGCAAGAGATTAAATAACATTACAAGTGAAAGAACAATATCAAATGTAGAAATCAGAATTCTTAGCACTAAATTGCATCTAGTCTGCTGTGCAGATACTTAATGCAGACCTTCACTGGGTGATTCAGCAAGAAGCAAACCATACAGTGGGTTGCACCAAAGATGCATTTATCCTGGCATCTTGTCTCTGATAACACCAGAATGGATACTTAAGGGAAGGACATGAACAGAAGCAAGCGTATGGTATGCCCTGCAAACTCTAAGCAGACCTGCAGTTTAGATACTTCCTCTGAACTGCAGGCTGGCCCCAAATCAGTGTCTTTAATGGGTCTTTATGAACTACTCTTCCCTGAGTTTATCTAATCACTTTAAGAAACCATTTATATTTTGGCATCTGCAATATCCTGTAGCAATGGCTTCCATAATTTAGTTAAGTGCTGCCTGGTCCCTTCACTTGTTTTTTTGTCTAGTGAGAAATAATAAATAATCACTATATTTTCACTTTCTACACGCCACTCTTGACTTCACATGACTCCAATATACCCTGCTTCCTCACATAAGTCACCTTTTCTCAAAACTGGAAAGACCTGACTTACTGAACCTGTCACACTGAAGCCATCCTAACAGTGTGATCGTCACCTTCTTTTGCACCTCAACAGCTTCCAGCCCATCGTTCTTGAGATGGGACAGCTGGAATTGCACAAAGTATTCAAAATGGGGCCGCACCATTTATTTTGTTCTGAAGAGAACACCAAGAACATCATGCATAATCTAATGTATTTTACAATGTGCCCCTGTTCAGCTGGCACAGTATCTCTCTGATCTTCGCACATTCTGCCCTCAGCACAGCTCTGTGCTTTCCACCATCCCTTCATCTGATGGCAGCACATCTTTCTCTGTCTCCCCAATTTCTTTTGGCTTCTGATACCAGACAGAAGGTGTCTTGCTCCATCTCCCTACAGAATTGGAGGACTCAGGGGCACATTTCCCTATATACAATATTTCATTTATTTCCCAGGTTTATCTACTGCATAACATTTATTTTTGCTTTCCTTTATCCTGTCTCTCTCCTTATTTAGCAGCTAAAGCCAGTTTCAGCTTCATAAACAGTAACTGCACACTTTTCCAGCCTTTTAAATCCAGTTTTTGTACATCTGATACCACAAGGCACTTTGCCTAAAGAAGAAATGCTGAGTAAGGCTTGTTTGGGCACAATTCTCACACGTACAGCTGTGTAAGTTAGATACCCAAATTGTGAGTTCAGCCATCACTACTTCTCACAACCATACGAGCAAAGCAAAGTCACCCTCAGGAGCAGATCCATCTATTACAAGGGTCAAATCACCTTTGCAGATATTCGTATCTCATTGACTATATTGAGAATCCAGGACACTTAATGTTCCTAAATTTAACAACTCAGTTAAGTGAGATGATGCTGGGAATTTACATTTCTAGGACAAAACAGTCTGGGGTTAGGTGAAAACAGAACAGCAGCTAAATATCCAAGCCTGACTGCCGCCACCCCAATACCCTTGACTCTATAAAGCCGATAACTGAAGTTCTTAAAACACCTTTTCCTAAGTAGATTTTACATAGCTGAAGTCAAGCCATGGAAAAAGTGCAGTACATTGTGCCATGCAAAATTTCCAGGGTGTTGTTTTCTGCTGGGAATGATTGCCAAATGGGACAATTCACTGAAACTTCAGCTATCATGTTTCCCTGTTATTCCTATAAACTTTAACAAGATAGGCATTTCAAAGCAGCCTAGTTCATATCCAAAACACTTCCTCATGCATTTTGAACAGCACATATTCAGAGCTCTTAGAATAAGCAGCAAGCTCTCCTCTTTTTTTTTCCTTCCCTAAATATTGCACAGTTCTTACATTTGAATTTCATTTCTTTTCTTGGTTTCTCAGTCTTCCAGTTTTACTTTAATGCAATTGCCTAGCTGTTAGCAGAATCCTTATTGCCAACTGTTTCCTTGAACCAGCCTCACGCTTCAGATCGACACAATAAAACCAAACCTCAATGCTGTCTCTCAGAAAAAGATGCAGAAACCATTGGCTGCAATTAGCATTTGTTTCATTTTTATTTTCATTTCTTTTTTTTTTTCCATCGTGACTGTAAACCAAAATAAACCAAGTAAAGGGAGCGAAACCACAAACAGCTATGTTCATGTAAGGCTTCAGAGGAAGCATCCAAGATGCAGAATACAGTTTCCAAGCAAAGGAGCCTAATCTTTCAACCATGTCCTGTGATACCTGAGAATGTATTTGATTGCAAAATTTAATCTGTGGATCTAGAGTACCAGTTCTTCCAGATAATGGGGCTCTGTAGAAAAATATAAACAGGGAGGCAGGGAAAGGATGAGAAGAAACCCATACTGGTCAGAGCAGGAGTTGGGGGGGCTCAACAATGCAGTGCAACAGCACTCAGCAAAACTTGAAATCATTCAAACTAGATTGATCATCCAAACGATTTCCAGGCAGATACTCCATGAAAATGCTTTTTTTTTTTTTTTTTTGTATTTTGGATATGAGGATGAACAATCATTTTGCCTAGCTATTCTAGGACTACCCTTATCCATCTGGTAGTTGTTTACATTGCAGATCTTGCCATTATTGTGAGCTACACTGGATTTACTCAAAGATAATTATCATACATCCCAAAACATAATTAAAAAACAAACAAACAAAAACCTCTTAATGCTTACCCATATTCCTTTCCCAAATTGATTTAGTTAATTTTTTATTCTACTATTACCTTTTGCCAAAGGGAATTTGTTCTAGAAATGTGCTAGAAACAGGGCTGAATAATTCAGTTTATTCACAGAGAAGAAATTGCAGCATGAGCTCCCTCAGTACACTGATCCCATGAAGGCCCCTATTGGTGCACCTTTAGCTGCCTTGTTTACAGTATCAACAAATGGCAGTTCTCGTGAGAAGTGCAAATATTTACTAGAATTTATTTCAGACAGATCGCATCATGCTGTGCATTGAAAGAAAAGCAACATTGCTGGAAAGCTCTATTATGCAAGCACTACCAAACCAATTCTATATTTATTAATGTTGTTGTGTCATCAGGCATAAAGTAAGAAAAGTCGCTCACTTGCAAAGATATTACTTGCTTTGTTAACTAAACCACTGCTGCACTGGCATTTATTTTAGAATAACGAGAACGGTTAGAAGAGAAACATGGAAGTGTGACTAGAGTTCCCCTGTTAGGATGCTGAACACTGAGGCTAAATTTCAGAGAATTAAGACAGTGCAGACTCACAGTACAGGCCACTGCTAGGACACCTCCAAACAGCGGTCAGTTCTTTGTTATAGAGCTTGTAATCAAGGTAATAAAATCTATGGCTGTGTTTTTCTTTGCTTTTTGAAGTGGTGTCAATGGTTTATGGGCTGGTTCGGCCCAGTTCCGTGACTGGCGGGGCGGAGGGATTTCACAAAATCTGCGCCTCTGGAAAAAAAGGGAACAGGGGACCCCAGAATAATTAAAAACAGTGGCAATGTTTTCTCTGAGGAGAAACAAACTAATTTACGAAATATCGGAATGCAAGATAACACATCATAATTCGAATTGAAGCTAATAAATCAAATACAATGAGAGAGAGAGAGAATGTCCAAAAGGTGGATGAGGCCTCACCATAGCATTGATGTGAGATGCGCAGTTCAGTTGAGCAGCAGGGAGACGGGAGGAGAGACGATTAAGAAGAGTGGATGAAGAAGAGTCCATCAAGTGACCTTGCTAGGAGTTCTATCTCCTCTCTGTGACCACAAAGTCCCCTGGGGAATGTAGTTGCTCTTCTCTTCCAGGCAGGTCACCAGAACTTGAGCATTAACAGTTAAACTCCCAGTGCCCCACATGATGTTATGATGTGGAACACTGAAAACCAAAAATCACAAAACCATGACAAGTGGTTTTATTAACTGTAGAAAAAAATGATCTTTTCATATATCAGTTCTCAGTGCATATTTTTCCCTGGTGTCTATATATGACCTGTACACAATCTCTGGATTCATACCATCATGCTGACCAAGAGACACTAGACACAGAGCAAAGAAGTGGTTTGCCCTTTGTGAGTTTTTGTTTTCCCTCTCAATGAATACGTTATTAATATCAGTAATGAGACAAGAACATCATCACCCTTTCATTCCAGTTTGGAGTATTCAATGACTTGGCAGAGTAATGCCATGTAGCAAAGTATGGTATTCCATTGGTCTTTCTGGCTGTCCTGTGCCATCACCGGTAGCCTTTCATTTGAGGCATTTGTTTTATAACTCAGCCTTTAAAAGGACTCAAAATACCTCTCTTCCTTACTACTTCTGTCCCCAGATCCCACTGTACCCAAATCTCATGAAGTCGTGTTCTTTCCCCTCAACATTTCTTTACAGGCTGGCAACATTTTAACCTGCTTACCTATTGGAAAATGAAATGTATTCCTTCTGCTTGCACTTTGGAAGGGGGTATCTGTTTGAAGGAACAGAGTCAAAGATGGCATTTTCTGAAACTTTTTTCATGTGGCCATGTGTATAAGAGGTTCCTTTATGTCTGAATTTCCCCAGAATCACATTCACATTCAGAATTCACAACATATCTGGCTATAGACATTTGAGCATGGCTTGACAGGTCTCCTCCAAATCAGCTCTGTTCAATGTTGCACCCCTCCCAGAACCAGCCCAGCTCATTTCTCAGTACTCTGAGCCCTTCTGGGAGATGCCTGGAGGTCTGCCCATGATGTGCTGCCTTCACCAAGTCAGTTCTCTCCCAGCAGCACACATCACTAAGCAAAAGCTGAACTCTTGGCTGAAAACAGAAATCTGTTTTCAACTCCCTTCCCATTTCTACCCCATCAAGATACTGACTCAAGTATATTTGGATTAAACATAGATTTCAAAAAGCAACTCAAAAAGATCTAATGAAAAATGTGACTTTTTACACAACCTGTTAATTTTTGCTGTCTTTATGTTAAAAGACTTTTCACAATTGGCTGAAGTCCAAGAAGTACAAAAATCCAACACTAGAAGGTATGTTGGGAGAGCACAAGAGATTATAAGAAGATTTATAATTGAGAAGGTAAATGTGTCCATTCACCAGGCAGACTAGGCTTGCAGATGAAAGAGCCTTACTAAAATAATTGAAAAATGTAAGCAGCACAATCGAGTTTGGAGCAGATCTTTGGACACACTCTACAATGATTACAGCCATGGAAATGTGCCAGCCATAACAATAACTGAAGTCAGATGAGGGATGGATGCAGACAGCCCTGCTCGTACAGTCTGGCTCTTGCACACTGCACTGATATTCGTTCTGATCTCAGCGGGAAAGCATGTGTTTGCAGAGCTGGCTTGGGCTGCTCTAAGTTAAACTCTTTATTAAATCTTCTAGTTGGCAGTAGTCAGCAACAACTTTCAAGCATGCTAAAAAAGTTTATTTTTGAAATCCAGATTTATACAGAGGAGTGCAGCACATGTTTTCTGAATCAACGTTGCCCCCTCCTCCTTCCCTGTGGAGAACAGAGCTGCAATTTTTCCAGAGCTGGTTGAGATTAAGACTCCAGCCCCCCTTTCAAAAATTCTAATTTTCAGCTGGCTCTGATTCCTGCAGCGTAACCATTTACTACTACTGGCACTGCTCTTAATCTAAGTTTTCATTTTAGATCAGCCCATGGTCAAATGATACATCTCATTCTGGATAAAGAAAAAGAAAAGGTGCACACAAAGAGCTGAGGCTAAAGCTACCCAAGTGCAGGCTGCCGTGGATGACTACATCTACAGAAGTGCTAATTGCTTCACATCCTGAGTTGGCTTACATTAGACAGAAATACCCAACTGAATTTCATAAGGGGACTTTTTTTTTTTTTTTTTTTTTTTTTTTTAAAAGAGTTGCAATGCTTGTCCCGAATCTTCTGAAACTGCCATGCTAAGGATGAGAGTGCCTCTGCGAGAGCAGGAAGGGTGCTCTGTGCAGCACTTGGCTCTCAACCTGACAATGATTTTGTATCATTTTGGTATCAATGCAGTACAGCTGAGAGATCTGGCTGGTCACAGTACTGCAGCAATTCCCTTTACCAACATCATGCTTAAAAATAGTTCTTGGTGCAGCAGAAGGCAGCAGCACTCTGCAAGGCACCCTGCAAGGGCTGGGTCCAAGAGAGCTGCTCTCACTTTCCCTGAGCACCTGCATGCAAATCATAGAATCCAGTTGGAAGGATCCCTTAAATGCAATCTAGTTCAACTCCCCTGTAGTGAGCAGGGACAAAGCCATGCTGTTGTGATCTGCATGGTCTGAAAGCACATCAGCTAATCACAGCACTTACAGGTTATCTATGCCTCTAATTGCAACAAACTTCTTTTGTAAATCACTTCAAACTACATACATTTGATCCTCTTTAGAAATAACCAGAACTTTTACAATCATTTTGCCAACACTGAAGGAAGATCTCTTTCAAATACCTGTAAAATGTATCTGTATCCCACTGAATATCAAATTTCAATGGGAGTTCACTCACACTGCCAAAAAAAAATCCAGAAAAGTTGCATTACTGACTGGATTAATTACTAAAAGCATCGTATGACATATCAAAACCACTGAATGCATAACTTTCCAAAAAATGGAGGTGATGATTGAACTTCTGGAGGCTCACATTTAACCAGCTATTGTCTAACTAAAGCACTATACATCAATGAAGCCAATTTCTGTCATAAGAAGCAATGGGGCACACACAAAGTTTCACATGAAAACTTTTGGCAATAGAGTATTTATAAAAAAACTTACAGCCATGCAATTTTTACGCAAGCTGAATTAAAAATAAATCTCAGACAACTTGTCAGCACCTATAAACATAGACAAACTGACCTCTCCTCCACCACTCACACACATTCTTGCCAAAAGAAAACTACATACAAAAATGAAACAATTTTCAAACCTATCTGCCAAACCCACAGGGGGAATTCAGATCACTATTTCTATCTATAAATGTCAATAGGCAGGAGCTTAAAATATAGAACACTTAATGCTAGTGTCAACTGTTAAAATCAACTCCATAATTTCAAAACTCTCACTCCACTGCTCAATTATATATTGCAGCCAAATTCATTCTGAACTGAAACCTCGTGCATTGTTCTGACTTTTTTTTTTTTTTTTTTTGTAGTTTTGGTTACTAAGACATTTCCACTAAAAATGAAGAGGGAATTAGAATATGGCACTGAGGGACATGGCTTAGATAGCATGGTTGGCATGGGTTGATGGCTGGACTTGAGGATCTTAGAGCTTTTTTCCAGCCTTAATGATATGATTCTGCAGCAAGTAGTAGATTTTAGTTTCCATGCTGTTATTTTGTAAAACAAAAGTATTGTCTTGAAATACACAGCTTATGCTTGCAGTTCAATCAATCAAGGAATGACAAAATATATTGACAAGATTTGCAAGAAATCCTTTTCCATTGCTGTGCCCTACTGGATTCCATAAGACAGCGACACAGTGCGAAGAGCTGTAAAGTTTACAGCCTTTCAGGCTGAGTGTTTTCTGCCAAGCACAACAGCAGTCACACCAATATATCAGAGAACAGAAAGAATTATCCCTACTGCTTGTCCGGTGTCAGCGTCTCTCCCTGGGATAGTGAATTTCCTCCCTTTCTCCCATTTTTTTCTAACTCAAAGCTTGTGATTAGATTAGTATTATGTGCAATCATGTACCTGACAACTTAAAGTCTTGCATTCATTGTTCTCTTTGTCCCTTAGGGTGAGTTTACAGCTAACCTAGCTAAGAAAATGCTCTTCTCTCATGTGAAAATTACTTTATGCAATACACAGACTTCAGTGATGCACTGAGAAACAACCTAAGAGTTAGTGACACCCCTGAGAGAGCAATTCATTGCTCTCCCAGACACCACAGAAAGAGCAATTTACTGGGTTCTTGGACAGTGCTGACACATTCCCTCCTTGGAATAAAACAGGCCAATGGCCCAGCCTCCAACTTGCAGTCAGGATGTCCTTTAGTTTGCATTAAGAAAATAAAAAGGTCAGGTATAAGATAAGTTCTATTAAATTTGTTCATTGATTAAGTTTTCTTGTAGTTACGTAATAGGTGTGAATGGGGAAGACACTACCAAGCTGTAGAGAGAGCATTCAATGACCTTCATTTGAAGGAAAAGTTGCCAACTTGGAAATCTCCCCACAATTATTTCAATTGTACACATTTTAACACTTTACTTGAGAAAAGATACTGGAAGAGATTCCAAAGGGATTGTTCTAAAAAGAGGAAAATGAGAAATAAAGTACAAGAAGGTCTCTGCTGAATCAACTATAACTGTAGCAATACATCATGAGAAAGAAGAGCAACAGGTTTTACACCACTAAATTTGTTTGATTTTAAATAATGTAACACTCATGTAGCTACAATGGAATGCTACTCCCACTGGATTTACGCTGCACTTCTGCAAACTCATATGAGAAGATATACAAAATAGGAAATGTTCTTGGACAGAAAGTTTAGCTTTTCACTCAAAAAAACAAAAACAAAAACAAAACAAAACCCAAAAAACACTGTGGTTTCCCATAAAAATCAAGACCTTTAACATAAAAACATAGCCTGTTCCTTTTGTGCTATTACAGCTTCCGGAAACTAAACAGAGAATGCATAAATTGTATTTGGAGAAGTTTGAAGAATGTAATTTAACTGATGTATGTGATGGGATCCCTACTATTCTAACAATGCTTGCAGTGTTTTGATGTACAATATATCCTTAAAATAGATGAAGGAGAACATAGGAATTTTACATATAGGTGTATTTTATACGCTTCATGGCACAAAGGTACAACTTCACTAGAAAAATACTGGATTCACCACTAACCTCTGCATGGATATATGTATCTTGAC